TATCTTGGATGACACACTTACTGCCCTGGCAGTACAATTTTTAAAACTTAATACTCTCTTTTTTTAATAGAAAATTGCTTGTAACTTATTTTATAAATGTTCAGTCAGCTGTTAATGGCACAAATTAAAAAACTTGCAAGTGGCATTTTGCCCTTTTTCTGCACAGTTAAGTCATTTGAAAAAGTGAAATCAAATAATGAAGTTAAACAGTTTCAAATAATATGCTTCCTCTCCCCATCCTCCACCCCCTCCATAATATTTTTGCTATATTTTAATTTCTTGGCTGGAAATTCAAAACCATGTAAAAGTAATTTGATCAAACCACAGAACTGTTTTCTTGTTGGGGGGAAGTGTGTATACTATTTTTTTATATATGTTTTGAAAAGCAGTATAGTCGTGCAAAGCATTGTAGAGCCTAAGTAAAACTGATGTTGTGGGATTGGTTTTTTAATTGCACAGAATATTTATTGTTCTAGGTATTAGTTCTGTGTGGCATATTGTTAACCTTTAGAGACGAATATAAACTGCATAAATAGGAATAATTAGGTGAAATAAAAGGGAAGCATTTAGGCTGCGCATCACCCGACGCAACTTGATTGTCAAGTGCATTGGGCTGCAAAATTGTCTCCCAAGGGAGCTGATGGATCCCACCACACCTGCGTCGCCTAGAAATAGCCCCAAGTACTGGGAAATGCGCTATTTTTGTAGGAAATACTACTGCTGGGAGGCGGACTAATTGGATGACCTGATAGGTCTCTTGCTGCTTTTAACTTCTCTAATTATTTGAGCTTTCCACATATTAAGTACATATCAAAACTCATAAACAACCCAAATTGCCTGGCTTTTGTAGGGTTGTTTTTGGCCAATAAAGATGTTTATGGAGATTTGCTGGACTTTTCCCTGCCTCTGAGAAGAGCGGGTTGTGGCAGCAGTTAATAAAACACTAACTTTAATGTTTTCGTCCCAAAAGAGGGTGTTCACGGCTTCCGAGCAGTGCCTAACGCAGGGCTCGTGGTCGTGCTGATGGTGCATGCTGCTCGCTGCAAGGCTATATTTAAATAAATGTGTGCAACTGCCTGAGAGCTTTTTGCTGGGATGTTTTTTGGTCCTTGCCTGGCGTTCGCTCTGCTCTGGCTCCTCGGGTTGTTTTTCAGCGCTGTTCCCGTTGACGGCCGCTCTGCTGCCGCGGATGAGCAGGCAAGTCCATTGCAGGAGAGAGGCTGAGGTTTTCCAGCTGTGCAAAACTCATTCCAGCCAGTTTGCACCGTTTCTTTTAAGGACAAATAGTAGTTTAGGGCAAAGGGCCTGGCTGATAGACAGGTGTCTGCAGTGGTCTAGGGCTGCCCTCCATCCTGGTGGAGACCAGATGGGAGCTGCAAATCCCCTGGTTCCTCCACGCTCATTTTTGTGGACAAAATAAGCTTATTTTGCTTGTCGAGGGCATGGCTCCTTTCTCACGGGCTTTTCTGATCCCGTGCACAGGAGCTGGGCTCCTTTTGTCCCTTTAGCTGCCATGTGTGGTCCAGCAGCTGGGCTCCGTCTGTCCCCGCTCCCCGCGTGGGATTCAGGTATTTAGAGGCCAGGCAAAGCAGCGGTCGTGTGCCAAGCGGCTGAGGGAGGCACCTGATTTGCATAGATTTGAATAATGTGTACTTTATTGTGCCATTAAGCCTTCAATAAAAGGGAATTGCTTATGCAATTCAGCTGCGGGTTTATCAAAACACTCCACATGCAGGTCCCTGGCAGCGGCTGGTTTTAACCCTCTGATGAAAGGTGCTGCAAACTTTGGAGATCTGTGTAATTTCTTTTTTAAGTGGGCAATTAGAAGCCAGCTGCCAGGCTGAAGCACAAGCAGTGATATTTGCTAGCAAGAAGGCCTGGGCTCGAGACCTCTCTGGCCCTAATCGTGGAAAAGCAGCTTGGGTCTGCAAGGAGAGCGTGCCAAAGACCTGCCAGGGTGGGGAAGGAAAGGAGACGCGACCTCTTCTCGGGTGTCCCCATAAAACAAAACCATTCTGAAGCCAAAGTTAGACATTTTGATGTGTGTATGGTGATAGCACCTGCGTCGGTCATGCCAAGACCCGTGTTGGGCCCATGTCAAGGCCAACTTGCAGGTTTTACCCAGCGCAGGTGAGATGCGGTCAGGATGTCCTTTAAGTTGCTCTTTGAAGCATCCGGGTGTTTGTCTCCATGTCCAGACTGTCCCTGGGCTCCAGTGCCAGCTTGTGATTTAGCTCAGTGAATTGCAGTTGTCTTTGGGCACTAGAGCACTTTCCCCTGCTCCTTCTAGATGTAAGGTCAGGATTAACCAAAACAAGATGATCTTGTCCTTAGTGTGGGCCTCCCAAATGAACCTGCAACCGCCTGACAGATTTTGGATCAGTAAAGCAAATACACCTCCTTTGGTTTCTTAATAGAAACAAAGGCCTCCATGCAATAACATTATTTTTATATATATATTTTAACAAAAGCTCAGCCCTTCTGAACAGATTGAAAAAGGGAGGAATTGCAGAGCTACATCCTCTGCTCATCCGTGGAACAACTGCTTGGGGGGGAAAAATCACTGCAGCGTGAGGATCATGTTCATCCCTGTGAACTAGCATTGAGCTGCAGGTAGCTGCATGTGGCCGGGTCACTGCTGCCCCTCGTTTAGGCACAGCGCTGCCTGCCTGGTTATATGAGATACTCCTTCAGCATCAGTGACACAGCGAGGAGTTCCTCATGGGCTCAGGTGTGATCAAGAGAGTAGAGAGGAGGAAAAGATGTGACCTTGAGTAATGAAATAAAAATAAAAATCCCTCAGAAAATGAAAGATCATGCCCATAGGGGCCAATAACGAGAGTTTCTGCTATAGGCTGAGGGTTCATTAGTTGCAAAGTGCAGAGGAGAAAGGATCCTTCTTGGGGCTGAGAGATGAGCTAAATTACTTTCCAAGTCTCTTCCAGCTTGGTAACCATAAACTGTATAACATGCTTTATTTTTTCTTACCTTTTTAGTACATGCAGGGGAATAAGGACAGTTCTCGATGCCATTGCAGAGGTCGTGGTCGGGCTTGAGCTGCTGCAGCATCTCTGCTCACCCGCCATCCAGAGCAGGGAGGGATCGCTGGGAGACCTGGACAGAGGAGCCTTTGTGCAGAGAAGAAATTAAGAGCTTTGCTCATGCGGACAAGCCCAGCAAAGGCCGAAATGTCGAGTAGGGAATAGCCCAGGGAGAGGATGAAAGCAGAGAACAGCAGGAGCTGGCTGAATAAATTGAGGTGGAAAGGAAAGTAGGTTAGGAGAAAGTTCCTGGTTCTCGGAGCAGCGCGGGTCGAGGCCAGCGAGTCTCGGAAAGGTCTCGTGGAGGTGACACGGGCAGAAACGTAAGCGCTTTGGAAAGGGAGCATCTTTGTGTGCGGTCACCTGCGCTGGCAAAGGGCTGGGACCGGTGGCTGTCGCAGAGCAGCAGAGGCATTTTCATTAAACCAGGAGGAGTTAAAAGAGAATACATTAAAGTGAGATTATAGGAGATAATCTCACCCTGACTCATCCTCCATGCTGTTTGCTCCCCTGCTACACCACCGTCTTATTCCCTCGGTGTTTGCTCCCTTTTGTCCCTGCTGCGGATGAGAGGAAGGGCTTGTGTCCATGCCAAATCCTGGTTTTATTAGAGGGCAGTAAGCAAGATAGCTGGCTGGCTCTGAATGGAAATAGGCTTTGTAAAGCTCAGCACATCCTCCCAGCCTGCAGGGGATTTTTGTGGTTGCTTCCCCATTACCCCCAGTACTTGAGCCACCGCCTGGGCTATGGCACAAGGACATGCTTGGTTGCTTCCCAGGAAAGGAACAACTTTGAGGTCGCTGCCTTTGCTGGGGGTGGAGAGGAGATGGAGAAAGCTGCAATCATAAACAAGGCAGGCTGCAGCTTTATGGTTATAGTCCGTAGAGTGTGGATTTATCTACCTTGCACAGCCTAACAAATCGCTGTTGCAATCATTATGGTAAATGTGAGATATGGAAATAGCTTTAAGTTTCATTTTACTCGCTGTCATCTCTTTATTTCTTTATTGAGCAGCAGTCATTTAATTGTGTTTGTTTGACTCCTGTTCCTCTTTTCCCTGTTTTGGATTACATTGAGTTCCCGTTCCGTGTACAGTAGCACAATTTGATGCCTAATGAAAAAGGAAATAATTACTTCATTAATACCAGAGTACAGTTTGTCCATAATCAACAAGAAATTAGAAAGCACTGAGTGTGTCGGATAAAGTAGTTTTTCTCAGCTGTTTTGCTTATGTGAGAGAAAAGCCAGAATGTCTCTCCCTGCAGCCGAGAGCTGGGATATCCCCCTCAAAATTATTGAGCAGGGAACGGGTTTCCATTCCTTTCTTCTTCATTTCCGTGCTGCGCTCTTGAGTTCTGGAAGGCCTCAAGCATGTTACCTCTTTTTTATTTTATCTTGCAATTTACTGCAGGTCATTCAAATAAGATGTTTGCTATAAGGAATGCATTGGGGCAGGGGGGTCATTGTGTTGGGCACTGAAGATCAGCCGGGCCTGATCTCCTGGAGGGCAAGGTGCCTGGATGCCCCGTGTATCTTTATAGTTGTCAACACACGTCATCTGAAATGGAGTATAAAAACTGAAATGGAAATCAGGCTGTCCCATCGCAGTGGTCAGACCTACCAATACCTGTGAGACGCTGCATTTGGAGGTAGAAACTCAATCACTCTGTTTAGATCAAGCTGCATTTCTGCGTTTTGGGGGAAACGTGAGCCGTGTTTGGTTAGAGATATTTTGTTAAGCAAAAAAATTTTTTTTTTCTTTTTTAATGATGGCTTGGGTTTGCTTGTTGATAACGTTTGTTTGAGCTGTGCTAGCTGCGTGCTGGGCGCTCGCCAAGCGCAGGAACGTGCTTCGTGCCCGGGAGCTTGTGCAATCAGAAGATGATGAAGACGGAGAGGAGGGGAGGGGGTCGCACGTTGTCTCACGCTCGTCCCTCTCTTTTCCTTCCCTCGCTGCAGACGGTACCAAAGCCCATCGCGCTGGAGCCCTGCTTTGGCAACAAAGCTGCCGTGCTGTCCGTGTTCGTGCGGCTGCCCCGGGGACTGGGGGGAATCCCACCGCCCGGACAGTCAGGTGAGGAGCGAGGCCTCGCTTGGCTCCCTGCTGATTTCTGTGCTCCTTCTTCCACCTCAGAGAGTGACGTCTGGAGTGCGGTTTGTTACAACTGGGACCTGATATGGACAAGAGTTCTCAAGGGGCATGCATAAAAGTAACTTGTCTCCCACCATATTCCTGGCTCCATGCATGGAGAGAGATCCAGTTGTTTCAAAGCATCCGTGCCCTGTTCTTAGTAGCTCCAGACAGTTGTTTTCTGTCTCTGGCCTAAGATCTCCCCTGTTCCCATCTCCTTCTCACCGAACCTCTCTTGTAGAGAGACATCAATTCCTGGGCAGTTTCTAGTGTCACTGGAGCAGGAGGTCCTAAAAGAGCATTCGTTGAGTTTGAGACCGGGTGCTTTGGTTGTGCTGAATCACATCCCATATGGCTATGGTGGTTTGCCTGTGGATGCACCAGGAGGAGATATGGATGTCTGGAAAGCACAGGGAAACCTCCATGCACAGGTGCCTGTGGGATTTATTCTAGCACATCTACTGGTGCAGATAAAGACTCCTCGCTTTAATATCAGGAGTTTCATGTCCCTTCATTCTTCTAGCTTTTATTTCCAGCATTTTTTTTTACTGTACTTGCTTTCAGCAGAACACACAGTATTTAGAAGCTTCTAGAGCTTAACCTCTAAACCAAAATGCTTTTCTTCTTTGCTTGGTTTATAAGAGCAACTCATTTGGTGACTTGGTGTTTGCTTCCATGACCATTTCTTTTTGTTGCTCCAGGTCTTGCAGTGGCCAGTGCACTGGTGGACATTTCACAACAGATGCCAATTGCCTACAAAGAGAAATCGGGTGCAATACGAAATCGGAAACAGCAGCCCCCTGCACAGCCAGGAACCTGTATTTGATGCATGGACATCAGAAACTGTGTAGTGTTTTAAACAAAATGGAACCGTAACACCGAGGAGGAGGAAGTTTTTCAAGTTGTGTCACAAGTGACTAGAAGCACTCGGAGAAACACAACTTCCTTGAACCCAACCTTTTCTCTCATCTACGTGATAGTTGGCTTTGACGACTGCTCCACTTAAGTTTTACTGACACGTGGCTTCAGATTGCTCCTTTGTTTTCTTCAAGTTTAAAGTGAAATAATTTTGTTGCAGGCCCAGTAACATCCAATCACCTCATTTCATGGTCAGTGTAAATAGAACAGTAGTCCAATATGAATGACACTCAGGTTTATACATGGAAAGTGCTTTGTAGTTTCTGTATTTATCAAATTGTACAAAAAAAAAAAAAGATGCAGTGTTTACAGGTGTCAGCTCTCAGCACATAAACACTACTATTAATCTTCAAAACATCTTCATCCTTTGTTTTCATTTAACGTATATGTTTATTTTCAACATTATTTAAATGGATCTCTTTTCCGGATACATTTTTTCCGCAGGCATTATCCAGGACATCAGGCGGGTAGAAGTTAGGGTGATGCTAAGGCGGATGTTGCGCGCTGCTCAGACCAAACGTAATTCCTGTAGAAGCTGAATGTTGCTTGTGAAGGACTCAGTGTTTACATAGTCTTAACCTACTTGGAGTACACCACCCACAAGTGCCTAGACTTGAACAGATCTAGGGAGTGAGGAGACTACTACACATTTCTTTTTTACGTAATTATGTTCATTTAAAAATACATGTATGTAGTCACCCAAGGCAGTCTGTGCTCTTTGTAATACATCACGTGCAATCAGGGGAAGATGACATTTTCCTGACCAGAGAAATACTCAGCCAGGTGGAAATATCTGGAGGGAAAATGGAACTGAGGTTCAGCATCTCGTAAGTAAACTCCTGGTTTCACCAGCCCTCTTAACAGAAGCAGTTTGTGTTCCAGGCCTGCTACATGATATTTCTTCCTAGTTTCTCTGCCTGCTCAACCTCTTCCCCTGCCCTCGGGCCATTCTTCTGGACGAGACCGAGGCTGCACCAGGGCTCAGAGGTGCTGCTCTTCAGCAATAAAACTTCCTCCATCTCCTTGCAGGGTGTAGAGAGCAACACTCCAGGTACCAAATCATCTAAGCATCCAGAAAAAAATATATATATGTATATATATTTTTTCTTAAAGAAGGCAAGCAGAGCAGCTTCATTTGGCCACAAGTTTGGATTTTACATGAGGAATTCTGGATATTCCCACTTCTGGTTAGACTATGGTAGATGTTGAAGCAGGCGGCCTGGGAACAGTTGTGGTGCTGGGGCCAGTGCTGGGTTAAGGTGCCCGTCGAGGACTGCAATTGCTGCCTGGTCGCATTGGGACTTTCCCTGGGGGTCCTGACGCGTGGGTGTCTAACGAGGGCTCTTCGGCACGATTACATAGAAAAACAGCAGGTTGAGGGGTGCAAAGGGAAGGGCCGTTGACCTTTTTGTTAAGCCATGTAGCAGCTTTTTCCAAACCGAAGTAACTGCGTCTTTTTTTGTGTGCATGTTTAGGTGACCTGTCACGTATGAGCCACTCGTTCCTCCTGTGTTTTTTTGATTTGTTTTTATTTCATCTTGTTTTTTCTTTTTTTTTCTTTTTTTTTTTTCGTGTTTTGGAGAACCGTTTTTTTTGGTATCGCAATAGAGCGCGGTATCGATGATGCCCGGCAGCGATGCGGGAGAACCTGCTGCTTTCAAGGTGTCTGCAGACACCCGTTCTGATCCGATGTACCTCTTAGCACGTACAACCCAACTGCAGGAAAAAATAAAATATACTGTGAAAAATGCATCTTTCTCCCTATAAATATATGTTTTTTATTCCCCAATCTGTTTCTAAAGCAGAGGCGTCTATGCCTGCTGGGGAAGGCAAGCTGAGGGAGGGAAGGGCTGAGCTCTGTCGCGTGGAATGAGGGGTTTTAGTTGATTAAATTTTAGACGATGCACAGATTACCTCAGACAGATTCATCTCCTGGAAAGATTTGGTGACTTCCTATGCGTATAGGACTAACCTGACTAGACTGCACTGGAGAAATAACGCGGGGCTCCAGTTCCTGCCCTGTTTCTGCTCTGCACATTTTGAGGTCTGATGCACAGCGTCGTGCGCGGAGGTGTCGTTTCTTGCTCCCCGCAATGCGTTTGTTTTGGAGGGGGAGGAAAGCTGCCAACTCAAATAGAGAAAACTCTCCTGCAGGTGCTTAAAGTCGTCGCTTTAGGTTTTTCGCAGCTTTTGGCTTTCTGAATAACAGGCGTGTAAGGGTGATCTGGTTTGATTTTTAACAAAAATCAGCGTTTCTTCCCCCAAAGAGTTGGACAGTCTGATCTCAGAAACATCCCCCCAAAGAGTGCCCAGAGCTGCAGCCACAAGAATTAAGTGCCAGTGCCTCGAAAAACAAGCAAAAGGGATCCAAACTCTGCAGTTTCCAAGGAAAAATAATAAGTAAATAGGAGAGTGAGACTTATTTATATAAATACCCTAAAAGTGCCCCTTTGGGATGTCACTTTGCATCTTATCTCCATGCTGATGAGGGAGGAAAATGTAAAAGCAAAGTCTCATACATCTCTTTGCTGCAAACAGTTTCATCTCAGCTCCAAAGTGAAATCGAGACCCAGGTGGGAATGGATGGAAGGAAGAGCTGCTGCTGGTTTGTCACGAGGATGGGATCAAAAGTGAAGGATTTGTGGGGTTGTTTTGCTGGAGGTGAGGGAGGAGTGAAAGAGCAACCTTATTTCGTGGGAGAATCTGTAAATAGATGAAGAAAAACACACCAATTTTGCATTTGTACATAAACTATACAGTCCTGTGCAGAACATGGAAAGATTTAAAGTGTATATAAACCAGAAACAAAATATTGAATGTATTTTTGATGCATTTTAAATGATGTAAGAGTTTTGTCATAATAACTTCTTCCTATGATGGGTATTAGATAACTTTCCAGAGCTTTAAAGAAACATCTGATTATATTCCTGATATCTCGCAGCATAAAGCAGAGGGGCATAACTTGACTTTTATGTATTCAAATGAATTTCACTTAAAGTTATTGGCAGAGTAAAATACAACTCTTCTATCTGAAAGAAAAAAAGAAAGGAAAAAAAAAGCACTTGAAAAGAGGTAATAAATGTACTTAAAGTAGTCATTACGTGAGGGCTTAAGTCAGCAGTTTAAGCCTCTATCATTAAGATCGTGCCAGTGATTTCCATTCAGAACCACTGTGTGCAAGAGTTTATAACTAGCAGAAATCCAGTGTTCAAGGTCTCAGCTGTCAGAGTGGTTTTCTTCTTTGAGAGTCGCCTTTCTTATTATATATATATAAATAGATATATATATATGTGTGTGTGTGTTGCAACCCTCTTATTCCAGAAAGCAGCAGTGCCATTGCAGCTCCAAATAACATACTTTTTTTTGTTCACCATTGTCCACACTTTCTAGCCCAGAATTTTTTCTGGACTGTAGTAGCGGGAGCAATAGCGGACCCCGCCGCAAGATGGGTCAGTGTGTTGGACACAAGAAGATTTATGGGATGCCACTTTTGAGTTATTGCCACTCTCCCTGGGTTTCCAATGTGCTGTATTTTAAAACATAAGAATACGAGAAAGGCTGAAATGAAGCTTTACGTGGTGGCCTGCAGCGAGAGCAGGCTGGGAAGGAGCCCCAGGGACATGGGAGCAAACGCAGGGGAGATAGAGAGCAGGGCTCCAGTTTTGGGGCGTGCAGGTGGTCGCTTGAGTCAAATTCCGGCTTTTGCCTTGATACCTCCCTCATCGAGCTAATTTTCCCACATGCTAGAAATGCTGTGATAGTGTATATAATGCTGGGATTCTTTTGTTTTTCTTTTGTTTCTTTTCGGCTTCTGCACCAGGACAGCTTTTACGCAGCTTGTAACATCCTCCTAACACTACACGTGAGCTGTCATCTGTGCGTCTTCCAGGTATACTATAGTTCTTTAGACACTTCTCCATTTGTCACTGACTCCGCAAACCTCTCCAGAAGAAAGGAGGAAAAAAAAAGTATTTGCAGAGGAGTGTAACAAATGTTGGTCCATTTTTAAAAAAAATCAAAAAACAAAAAAAAACAGATTTTATATCACTCTGAAATTTGTGCACAATAAATGTTCTTTACACTAGGATCCTTGGACTAATCGTATTCTCAATTTTTTTTTCGTTCCCTAATTATTTACAACTCTACTCTGTGTTCAGACTCAAGCTTAGTTTGTTAATATGTATAATTTAGCATTTATTGCATTCATATGTAAATACTGAGCGAGTATTGTAAACTATTTCATCGCTGGGGATTGTGGGTGTTATACATACACACATTTAGGACTGCAGTTTTTTGGTATAATTTTTTGTATTGTAAAATAACAGCTAATTTAAAGCAGGAACGAGGAAATTATTGGGAGGTCTGTGCATTTTAAATACAAATGTGAAGTCCATGTATATAAATAAAAGTAAATAATGCAAATCTTTCCTCTGAAATAAAAAGTAGATCATCTGGTAAAAAAAAAAAAATCTTTGTTTTTTGTTTGCTTTCTGCTTACTTCCCTTTTGAAATAGGAGGAAATAAAATCAAGCGGTGGCACCTCAGGGTGTTCGCGCTGCTGACTGGTGTCTCCTCAAGCAGATTTTGCTCCCAATGGGACCAGGCCGTCCTCCCCCTGGAGAACAAGGTCACCAAAGCCTGGAGACCCTGGATGACCATCTCCTTTGGAGGAACCTTTCCACAGCCCCAGAGAAGCCCCATGAAGGACGGCGGAGGAGAGCAAACCTTCAGAAATGACCCAAGGAGAGCACTCACATCTTCTCCGTAAGGTCAGTCCACCCCCGGGGAAAGCCATCAGGGTTTGAGTGTCTTATGCCCTGGTGTCCTTCCTATAGCAGCTTGTGGGAAAACCAGATGTATGGCATGGGCTGCTAATGACAGCAGTTCTTGTGCATTCAGGTTAGAGGGTTGTACTTCTGCCCCACGGCTCACGGCTTCTGCATTCAGCATCTAAGTAAACTTTGGAGAAATTAAAGTCTCCATCCCTTTCCTTCTCACTACTAATTTTCCTGGTAATCTCCAACTTTCTTTGAATGAGACAAGAAATCTGACAGCTGTGGAGCCTGGAGCTTTGCTCCTGGTTTTGCAAATGTGTCAAATGCTGGAACCAGCTGCTGTTTCGCATGCCTGCAAGAACTGGAAGAGCAAACCCAGAGGTGACCCCTCATCTCCTACCCCTTGGAAGCCCGTGCAAATTCCTGCAGCAGTGCAATCCGTCGTTCTCCATTTATTTTTATGTCACTCTTGAACTTTGAAATGAAGCATCGCTGATAGGAAGCGGAGTTGAACCTGGCATTTATGTACCATGAAGGATTTGGGCAGGGCTGACTCCTGGGACCATTGTGTTGCTTCATCCCATGGTATTAAACTTGGATGCTGAAGTTGCTGTAGAGTCACACTGAGTGTACAGGTCCAAAGCCACAGCCTGGTG